ACGGTTCAACTGGCTGCCTACGCCGATGATATTAATATTATGAGTAGAACATCAACAGGAGCACAGGAAGCATACGCAGAGTTAAAAACACAAACGAAAAGGCTAGGTCTGGAAATTAACACAGAAAAAACAAAAATAATGGTACAGACGAGAAGAAATATAATCCCACAAAACATTATACATGAAGATGACATTGAAACGGTTGGAAAGTTTACATACCTGGGAGTAGAAATATATGCCGATGGAGCAGAGGATGGAGAAATACGAAAAAGGATAACGCAGGCAAACAAAGCTTATTTTGCCCTCTCCCATATATTTCGGTCTAAAAGTGTCCACCGAAATACAAAGATGAGAATATATAAAACTTTAATTCGGCCAATAGCATGTTATGGCAGCGAAGCATGGGTCCTGAAAGAAACATCCAAAAACAAACTCGACACATTCGAAAGAAAAGTACTGAGGAGAATACTAGGACCTGTGAGGGAAAACGGAATCTTCAGAATTCGATATAACAACGAGCTCTATCAACTGTATAAGGAAACACCCCTGTCAAACTTCATTAGAATACAAAGATTGCAATGGGCCGGACATGTGATACGAATGGGAGAGGATAGGCTACCAAAACGAGCACTGAACGCCAGAATTCAGGGAAAGAGACCAGTTGGAAAGCCAAGAAAGCGCTGGGAAGACACAGTAAGCAGCGACGCACAAGCACTTTTAGGAGTCCGTGTATGGAGAAGAGCAGCCACAGATAGACAAGGGTGGAGGCAAAAAATAAAGGAGGCCAAGGCTCATTTTGGGCTGTAGTGCCGTAGAAGAAGAAGAATTATATTATAAAACGATCTTAAGAACGTGAACTTGATGGAGTCATAGGTGCAACGAAAGGAAGGTGTAGTGATAAAAGTGTTCCTGCTACCAGTTACCGACAGAAGCATCTTCTGAGGGGTCTCAAGTACTGTGCAAATTTATTGTAAGGTAATGTTCTCTATTATTGAAGTCCTCCATGGCCAGAGACACAATTTAAAACGGAATTTGTGTACCCACACTCTATTCGCGAATGAAACCACATCTCGTGTGCTTAATATAAGTTAATGTTAAAATTTAGAAGGCCGAATAAGTATGTGCACATTTCTCTGATAAATATGAATTCATATTCATTTGTATTCTAACCCTTTTTTTGTTTGTAAGATGTTTAATGATTTAAAGACAAAAGGAAGGTAGTATATAAAAATTACGAGAGAGTAAAACTGTAACATACATTCTTGTTATTTGTTAGTTTTCAATACACTTATAGTACTGTTTATTTATTTTATTTCACTTATACCTAATAAAGTCAATTTTGGATATTCTGAACCAGCCCCTAACTGGAAATACAATATTAACTCTAGGAGTTTTTATATAGTCGGAGACACGTTTGTCGGTCCTCCACGCTCGAAAGGTTGCAAGGCAGACCAAAGTAGTTTGCTGAGCGACCCAGCTATCTCGTCAGAGGCAGAAAACTTAAGTTATGTCTACACTATGGACTTACAAGCCGTTCTTCTTTGTCCATATACCCAAGCCTCTGCCATGTACTATAAACAAAAACTGAAGGTTCACAACCAAACATTTTTTAATCTTACTAACAAAGATGTGGCTTGTTATTTATGGCACGAGGGAAATGGAGGTTTAGATAGCGATGTGTTTGTTTCCATTTTAGTGAAGTTTCTTAATGAAGAGATAGAAAGACACAACTCGAAGACAATAATCCTATGGAGCGACGGTTGTACGTACCAAAACAGAAATGTAAATATGTCAAATGGTTTGCTGGAGATAGCTATGGAGAAAAATATTATTATAGAACAAAAGTACCTAGAGGTAGGACATACCCAGATTGAGGTGGATTCGGTCCATAGTGTCATTGAGAGAAAGTTGGGAAGAAAAAATGTTCTTGCTGTTCCCGATGATTATACTAAAGTTATAAAAGCGGCCAGGCGAAACCCATCCCCTTATAAAGTAGTGTCTTTGCATTACAGCGATTTTTTACAATACAGCAAAGAAATGTACACACAAATTCGACCTGGAAGCCAAAAAGGTGATCCTTGTGTCACAGATATTTGTGCATTGCAATATCTTCCACAAGGACTGATAAAATACAAAATCAATTTTACTGATGAATGGCTCGAACTGCCACGAAGACCAAGTCGTACTAGAACGTCTGTAATTCACGAACCCTTATATTTATCGCCACGCAGAATTGAGGATTCAAAATTCTTACATCTTCAACAATTAAAATCTGTTATAGAATCAGATTATTATGCATTTTATGATAATTTAAAACATACCTGTGTGTCTCTCCAAGTCTGTTCACATATAAAAAATTAATGTGTATGATATTTTCTTCTTTCCAGTTTATTAGTTTAGAATTTTTAGTTTTGTTCTCCGCCATTTAAATAAAATAAACAAAAGGTTTGAAAATAATTGTTTTTATGGGGTGTACATGCATTACAAAATTGTCGTATGTGACATAAAATATTTAAACTTTCAATGCAATATGTCATATGTAACGGCATTTTGCTTAACATTACACTGACCAAAAAATCGTGTTCCTGTACTAATACCCAAATAAAAGGATACATCATACACAAATAATCGCATTTTCAAATTTAAAAATGGTCGACGAGAAGAGTTTTTTGTCTCTCCTGAAATATTACCTCATTCCGACATACGACATATTGCAGTATCACCGACGACATATCAAATTTAGCATGAGCAGCGATGATATTGAAAAAATGGGAAGTATGTATGGACAATGTAAGAAAAATAATTAAACCATAATTATTTATTTATTACAATAAATCTCAACATGCATCTCTCTTGAGTATATTAAATTGTTTTCACAACACAATGTCTTCATCAGATTGAGTATTACACTAAATTTATTCATATACACATCAATTATTCATATTACCTGGAAACCACTACAGTTGAGGGAACGAAAATTATAGAAGTGTCTATTAAAAACTAAAATATGAAACATTCACTTCACGTACATACAGAATAAAAACGTAATAAATATAAATTGTATAGAGCAAGATAACATGTATTGTTTGTGGGCACTCCCAATTCAATACAAAAGAAACACAAACAAAGAACAACAAAGCACAAGCACGTGCAAAACAAAACCCTAATTGTCCAACTCAAAGATAGAGGAATATACGCATACGCCATACTCGTGTTTTCTGTTTTTAGTAATTTAAATTTATTTAGTTGAAGACTGAATTTTCAGGTTTCTATACGTTTGGGTGTGGTTCGAGCAAGGTGTGATTGTATTGTTTTATATCGCGAGTCCAAATTATTTTTTATTAGTTGAATTTATTTTATTTCAAATTTTTTCAACATGGATAAATTTATTACTTCAATAAAAAGGTGAGTTAATATATTTTTAGGAAAATTCTATTGCATGTAAAACATTATTAAATTTTAGACCAGTCTAATGATCCAAAAGCAAATACAGATGATGGAGATAATAGAAAAATTCTTGAAGAATTCTCTTCCTCTAAAAGGGAATCTCAATCTGGTTTCAAACGAAAAAAAAACGTCTTTGGTGTGGGACTATTTCAAAAAGTCCGAGGATAAGAAAATGGCCAAGTGTAGGACATGTGGGAAAGAGTATAGGACAAGTGGAAACACTTCCAATTTGCTTGATCACCTGAAAAGATATCCCAATTTAGAAAAAGGAGAGAAAGTTCTGGGGCAGGTATGAATTAATTTTTTTTCTTCATGTCTATGGTGTTTGATATATTATTAGTGTAACCAACTCCAATTCAGTCGAATTCGGGACAAGACTGAAAAAAAAATAACTAAAATCCGGGACTTTTCAATGAAAATCGGGCCATTTTTTTTTAAATATAGAATAGAACTTTAATATCATTTTATTAATTATTTAACATTTTTATGTTGACAATGACATTTTTAATGGGATTAAGCCTCAATCTGGTCATGATAATTAGATTTTTGTTAGTTTTGGACGTTTTGACTTCCAATCTTCGGAAATCTTACTCAAAAAAGGAAAAATTAGGAAATCAGCTGATGTTAGATTTCCATGTAAATGTAACCTTAGTAATTATCATTACAACCAATTGTGACTTAATCATATCAAAAATATAATTGTCTTTTCAGAAGATAATTATTAAAACACAGAAACGAAAAAATGTCCAGTAATACCGGTATTACTATTACACTCTAGAAATTGTCAACTTTTCTTGGTCCCACCAATTCAATTTGATGTGAATTCTTAGAAGAATAACATATTCAAAATAGAATTTTACCAAAACATTGAAAATTAGGAAGCCCGGAAGCTTTGTTCGGGGCTCTGGGACACAACTTTCTAATTCGGGCCATGACCCATATTTTTCGGACTAGTTGGCCACAATGGTCACACTATATATTACTAATAATAGCTTCAATTCTGAATTTATGTTTTTGTTTTTAGGATCCAGTCGATATGATCCAACTTCATTGGAAACAAGTTCAGCCAGATCATGTGTAAGATCGATAAGTCCTTTTTTTAGGAGAGAACACCACTACGAGAATAATTCTCAAAGAAAAAAAGAATTAGATAAAGCACTTGCACTAATGATAGCTACAGATTATTAACCATTTTCTATCGTTGATGATGAAGGATTTAAAAAATTTATCAATTAATTGGACCCAAAATATGTATTGCCTAGTGCAAGGACCATAAAAGATAAGTTACTAAAAGGTTTATATGGAATCGTCAACAAAACTTTTAGAGATGTTAACAAACATAAAATATGTTGCACTAACAACAGATATTTGGACATCTGTGGCTGTAGAATCATATTTATGTGTCACATGTCATTTTGTTGATGATTGTTTTAATTTGAAAGCAGTACTTGTTAACAGACAGCTTGAAACAAGTCATACATCAGAATTAATAGCTGAAACGCTGAAAAGTATAATTCATGATTAGAAATTGACCTGAACATTGACATGAAAGCATGATCAAAGCATGTGAGATTTTAAAAATAAGGCACTTGCCATGTTTTGCTCATACATTAAATTTAGTAGTTCAAGATAATTTCTCTGCGGAACCTGCACAGGCAATTTTAAAGAGGTGCAAAGAAATTGTTAAATTTTTTAAATCAAGTTGCATAGCATATGACAAATTTAACGAAGTGCAAGTGCAAGAATGGAAAAGTACTGTCAATAAAAAAAAAGAGCCTTATAAATTAGTCCAAGAAGTACCTACAAGATGGAACAGTTGCTTTTACATTATCCAAAGAATTCTAAAGACTTCTGAGTCATTAAATAAAACACTCCTGAAGATCAGAAAAGCTCCAACCCCTCTTACTATTGATGAAATCTCAATTTTAGGAGATTTTGAGAAAGTGCTGGGTTGTTTCGAAGAGGCAACTAAAAAAATTTCAGGGAATTCATATGTAACCATCTCAATGATAATTCCAATGGTTTATGGAATCCATAACAATCTTGAATCTGAAATTATGGGTACAGAAATAGGAAACAACTTTCGGCTTGGATTATTTGAATCTATTTCGAAAAGACTTTTCCAATATGAATCTAGGTCACTTACGAGGATCAGCACCATAATAGATCCCAGATTTAAAAAAGAAGCCTTTCGTATGAAAGAAAATACTGACCAGGCATCTATCTTATTGGAAAATGAGATAACAGTTTATGCTCGACAAGAGAAATCTAAATCCGGCAATGGAAATTGTGACAATGGTGAATTTGAACAACCCAAGCCGAAAAAAAAACATTGTTTGATTTTATGGAAGAAAAAGTTAAAGGGAAAATTAAAAATGTTTTGGCAGATGTTATTATTACCAAAAGACAATATCTGGAAAGGCAAAATGCTTCCAGCGAAACAGATCCATTGGTATTTTGGAAGGTGTGTAGTACCTATATTGTAGTTTTTTTTGAGTATTTTGTTATTTGATTGAAATAATTCCATACTGTTTTTAACTTTCAGGTTAATGGTACGGACCTATTCCCTATTCAGGAACTAGCCTTAAAATATCTGCAGATTCCTGGATCATCAGTAGAATCGGAAAGAAATTTTAGTGTAGCAGGCCACATTAGTTGTGAAAGAAGAGCGAGATTAAAGTCTCATACTTTAAATATGTTAACTTTTTTAAATAAAAATTCATGGATATTGGTAGACTAAAATGTTAATAAAATATTTACTTAATAAATTTTTGTTTTCATTTTAGACCAGAGAAAAGGAAAAATTAAAATATTGCAATTTCTAGTTTTTTCACAAATAATTATGTCAGTAAACATCCACAGTCTTATTTCTCAAAATGTAGGTACTGTTAAAAATGAACTATACCTACAAAATGTAAACAATAAATCTTTGAAAAATATCTCTAATAAAGAGTTATTGCAAACCTATCTTGGTCATATTATAATAAATGGTCCTTTATTTTGACATATACACTTACACACTATTGCATCCTTTATTTTTGCCCTGTAATAAAATACAGGCCAAAGATATTTTATTAAAAGATCACTTATTGTGACATAACTTTTCAAATAATGTCAAAAATTAGGAAAGATGTCTAAATTTACTTCTATTTATTCACATCTTGTGTGACTATCTTCGAATATAATTTGTTGTATGTTTTGTTTTATTTAAATGTGTAAAGAACTCAAATAAAAGTTCAAATTGATTTAAAGAACATATTTATCGAAGCTTGTGTTAAAAAAATTTAAATATAATTTGTGAACAAAAACATATTTAAAAAGTATTTAATGATTATTACAATGATCATAGAATATTTTTATAACCCATTTATTAAATTTATAATATTTTTGTATAGAAATAAAAATATTTTTATTACAGATATATAAGATGTAATTACAATAAATTTTTATCGTATCCACAAACATGCTTCAGATATTGTGGAATAGTTTAGGATAACAGATATCTAACAAAGTGTATTAATAATATAAACAGATTAAGTTAAGGTTAAAAGTATAACAGGTTAATAACACAATTAAATAAAGGTTTAATTTTTGAAATTTTAATGGCTTATAGATTAGTATTTATAAATGCATAGTTTTTATTCAAAAGTAAACATCTTTCATTTTCGTGCCATCAGTATACTTACAATCATACACCAATATAATGTAGGTATAAATTTATTTTAAGAACTGTTAATAATAATATGATTTGCTTCTGGTTGAAAACTGCCCGAATTTGTTCCAAATCAATATCAACAGAATACTGATTTGCACTTGCCAGGATTTCAATGTTTTCTCCAAACTACTGCAATATGTAAAACTAAACAAACTGGTATTATTCTTTGAACAAAAGGTAACTTGCATCTCATTCCACATGTCAAAATACCAAATAACGATCTTTCAACAACAATTATTCTTGAAGCAATTTGTAATTGATAATATATAAATATATGTATATATATATATATATATATATATATATATATATATATATATATATATATATATATATATATATATGTAACGATGAGTCCAAGCCATCACCGTTAAACCAGCGTGCGCGCGAACCAACCCATGAAGTAGGAGTGTATCGACAGTAGAAAGGGCAAAACTTTGCTATATAAACCGCAACATTTCCTCATAGAGGCAGAATCGACAGGTGTTGACTGAAGGTTCTCTTCTTCCCTACCCCGGCTTGTGGACGTGTTGAGTTCACAAGTTGTTCCATACCGCCGTTACCCGGAGAGCGTGTTGAGCTCTCCATTACCCGTACTCCGAAGCAGTCGTGTTGAGACTGTCGAGGAGTGTCCTATTAACCCGAATCACTTAAGGGACGTGTTGAGTTCCTTTCTTTTCTTTGTACCTATCGTCCGCTGTTATTACAACGTTCACGTAAAATTTCAAAACACACTCGCTTGCCAATAAGACTAACTTCATACGACAAGGTCAAACTTAATTTGAATAAATAGGCCACGTACTGAGAAGACTAAACTAAATTGTAAATATGTACATAAGATTTTTGTCAATTTAATTTAAGGAAGACAATAAAGTTTTATTTGTATCTTGAACTCTGTCTCTGACTGTCCAAAAGCTACCCGGATAGTGACTCCTACGAGAGGACGTCACAAATGGCGCCCGAGCAGAAAAATTCGTTTTAAACAATAATACAGACCGAATTCCGAATTTTATTTTCATGAGACAGTACTACATCTCAAATTTTGTTCAAATACAGGGTGATTCACAGTTCAAAAATGACAGACGCTCCGGAAACGTCGAAGGTTAGTTGGGTGTACCTATTAAAGAAAGACGAACTTATAGCCGAATTAACAAACAGAGAACAGTCGACGGAAGGGAATTTCAGCGAGCTAAGAACGAGATTAGTTGCGATCATCAAGGCACCAACTCAAAAAGGCCAAAACCCAGAGGAAATAGAAGAAAACCAGATGGAAGACAGACAAAGAAAGATGGAAATAGTACGCAAATGGGGGTTACACTTTGACGGTTCAAGAGACCCAATAGAATTCATAGAACGGTTGAAAGAACTCCAGACAGCTTACGGCCTACAAGACACCCACGTCTTACAAGCTCTACCAGAAACATTAAACGGGAAAGCATTACTATGGTACAGAAACAATAATAAATATTGGGACGAATTAAAAGACTTCGAACAAGATTTCCGCAATTTCTTCGTTTCCTCCGTTCTCACGCAATCTCTGGAAGCTCAAATCCGGAACCGACTCCAACGAAACAACGAAGGTGTAAAAGTCTACATCATTGATATTCAAGCAATGATCAGAAGACATGGTGAATTCAATCACCAAGAAGAACTAAACAGGATATACACCAATATGAACCCGAAATACAAGTTGTATATAAAGAGGCAAGACGTATCGTCAACACAGGACATCATCAGACTAGCGGAAGAATATGATATGGTCCAAAAAGAAATATATAACAGAAACAATACAAGGTGTGACTGGACACAGGCAAATAGTCGTAATAACAAAATACAGAATTTCGACAGACAGACTTGTTGTTGGAGATGCGGCCGCAGAGGCCACAATAGAAGAAACTGCAGAGCTATCGCTGTACTCTTCTGCAGCCATTGCGGAACCCGAGGAACAACTTCCAATAACTGCCAATGTAGAAGCCGACCGGAAAACTCCAACAGGACTGGACAAGAAGGAGGCAACCCAGTCAGCATTTAGAGTCCTCCCTAACAACCTCCAGCTACGCACACTATACAGATCAACGACCCCACACAACGATAACGTTCAGCAACGGTAAAAAGTTAAAAGCACTAATAGACACAGGAGCCCAAAATTCGTTTATAGGACAAAAAGGTAAAAAAATATTGGAACAATGTGGAACAAAAAGCGACAGAAAAGCTTTAAAGATCACGCTGGCAGATGGAAAAACCAGCAACATAGAAATATGTTTTACAGCAAAATGTTCCATAGACAACGTTTGGAGAAAAGCCAAGCTACATTTTTTACCAAACCTAGCTTCAGAAGTAGTACTGGGAATGCATGAAATAACAAGATGGGGCCTTGATTTATCAAACATCTTAAATAGAAATCGCGTAAGAAGGAGAGAACAATACCAAACCAGGACAGAACACAGATCCAGATCGTACAAGGCAGACAATAACCAAATACCGACCAATTCCAGGGTCAACGAAACACCAACCGCAAGATATCCGCTCCAACAGAGAAGCAAGATATATAACAAAACGACCTACCGACTACCGACCGATACCGCGGTCGAAGACCAGACCGAAAATATACCGACTACCGACCGATACCGCGGTCGACAACCAGACCGAAGATATACCGAACTACCGACCGATACCGCGGCCGACGACCAGACCGAAGACATTCCGTCATACATACCGGAATTCACGAACAGTCCGAAACGAGAGCAGCTCGACATCAGTACTACACTAAACAATACCGAAAAAAAAAAAACAATTACAGGAATTGTTACTAACCGAATAGGAGAAATTTAAACACATTAAAGGAACAACACATCTAACCGAACATACAATAAAACTTAAACATAATACACCGATCAAACAAAGATACAGGCCCCGAAACCCGGCAATGCAGATTCCATTCGGATTACACGCCGCCTCCGCTACTTTTCAACGATTACTAGATACAATAATCGGCCCAGAAATGGAACCACATGCATTCGCCTATTTAGACGACATAATAGTACTGGGGAAAACGTTCGAGGAACATATGGAAAACTTAAAAGAAGTACTTCACAGACTACAGCAGGCCAAACTACGAATTAATATAGACAAATGTAAATTCTGCAAAGAAGAGATAAATTATTTAGGCCATGTAGTAAACAAGACGGAAATAAAAGTGGACGAAAACAAGACAAAAGCTATAGTCGAATATCCCGCGCCAAAAACCGTTAAACAACTACGCCGATTTTTGGGCATCATCTCATGGTATAGGAGATTTATAAAAGATTTTTCACGAACTACAGCCCCTTTAACAAAGCTACTAAAGAAAAAACAACATTGGACTTGGGACAGAGACCAAGAGGAAGCATTCAACAAAATAAAAGTATTACTGACACAAGCTCCAATACTGATCTGCCCGGACTTCCAGAAAAGATTTTTTTTACAATCGGACGCTTCGAACCACGGTTTAGGAGTAGCTTTAGTACAAACAAACGACGAAGGACAGGAACAAGTCATCGCTTACGCAAGTCGAAACCTAACAAAGGCCGAAAAAAATTACAGCGTGACAGAAAAAGAACTACTAGCGATCATCTTCGGTGTAGAAAAGATGAAACCCTACATCGAAGGATACCCATTTTCAATTATCACAGATCATCAAAGTCTACGATACTTACAAACAATGGAAAACCCTACAGGTAAAATAGCTAGATGGGCAATGCTGCTGCAACAATTTGACTTCGATGTCATTTACAGAAAGGGCTCCCAGAACGTCCTGACCGACGCGCTCTCTAGAGAACCAGTAGATCTGGTTTGCATAATAAACGTAGAAGATGTAGAACCCGACGAATGGTACAATAAAGCTTTAAATAAAATCCAGACAAATCCGCAACTATTTCCAGACTACTCTATCAAAGATGGACTTCTCTATCGACACTTCTGGGACAAATACGATTTAAAAGAGACAGAGGTATCCAACCCCTGGAAACTATGCATCCCAAACCACAAGAGACAACAACTCCTGGCAGAAAACCACGAGCAGCCGACCGCAGGACATCTAGGAATAGCTAAAACA